CTGAGCAATTGATTACTCTGCCGGTTATCAGTTCGATTAATCGACAAATCAGATAGCAAACATATTTTAGGGGAAAAGTACCTGTGTTCCCATGTGTGCCACTGGATGGGAGGTGGTGGGCGGGGCTTGGTGACGTCATCAATTCATCATCTTCCGTGTCACGCTGGGTGTGTCTTACAGGAAGTTTCCCACATTTTTTTAAAGTCGCTTAAATAATCGATCGGGGAAAAAAAAGTTGTCATAGCTGCTCGTTCACAGGACTTGCCCCAACATCCAGGGGGTTTTTGTGCTCATGCTGGAGTGATGACATAGTTGTTCTCATGTAGTTTGGCAATGTGCAAGGATCAACAGTCCTGAACATTTATGGCGGCTCGAAATGAGTCTGGACTTCACCTCACCTAGGTCAACTCGGCCTTAAAAATGTTGCGTGTGTCGAGACGTGGAATGCAAATCACGCACCTAGTGAATGTTACACAAAATAAGTAATATTTAAAAAAAAACTTTTTTCAAAAACACGCTTTAAAGAAATGTACCATACGAGTAATGGCAGAACTCCAGGAAGTGGCCCCGAAGCTCGCCACAACGTAAGGGGCCCGTGGTCAATTACAGCCAACGTCAGTTGAGCGTGGACAATTAGACCCAAGCCGAAACATAAGATATACATTTTTTTAAATATGTTTTCTTTTTAATGATAGAATATAGTATTGTCATCGGTATGACATAAGTATACCAAGTTTGCAGTCGATACCACATTGGGAAGTGGGTTAAAACTGACTTACAATATTTGAGGATACAACAACAGAGTGAGTTAATAGAAAGCGTGTAAAAATAATGTTTAAAAATACATTTTTAATTTGTAATGATAGAATATAGTATTGTCATCGGTATGACATAAGTATACCAAGTTTGCAGTCGATACCACATTGAGAAGTGGGTTAAAATTGAGTTACAAGATTTGAGGATACAATAACGACGACGACAACAACAGACAGAGTGAGTTAAATAAAAGCGTGTAAAATATAATCGTCAAAGTTTCATAGTTTCATTTATTTGGTATAGCCCTGTGAGCCATTCGGCTCTTGAATCGGATGCAACCGCAACAAACAAAAAAAACAAAAACATGAACAAGAAAACATCTTAAAGTGACTTTGTGCATGTGCAAACAGAAAATCCAGGAAAAAACATCAAAATATTTCTGGAGTAGCACCGTTCACCAACGCTGTGTGCAAAAATCCCAGTGGGATGCAAGTCAAACAACAACAACAATAAAACTAAGATTAAGGCCATCAGTCTAACTCTGTACTACAATAAACAAAAACATGTCCAAACCAAAAAACTTTTAGAAATCACCAAAATAAAGCCATAAACGCAATGTAACAGTGATCATAGGGACTGTGACACGAATTTTTTACAATAAACTACATAAACAACATGTAACACCAAACCCTAGAGCCACAGCTGGCTGCATGAGTCACTCCACAAACAACAGGAGCATCAGTTGTTAGTATTTATGAGTCCGCCACAGCATCATCATCATCAGCCAGGCGCTGTCGGCTTTCAAGCCTTTAATGCAGCTCTGCAGTTGCAAGGGTTGGAGGATCACAGCAATTTGTGAGCTCTGTTCAGTACCTGGGTGCATCGAGTTGCCATCTCCTGGCTTGCCAGAGTATGGCAGTAATGCTCGTGGCTTAATTTCCATCCGTAATCCATCTGTAAAGGTTACCCCCTCGCATGCATGGGTTTTCTCTGGGTAGTCCGGTTTCCTACCACATGTATTAACATTCATAAAGTTGGCCAAGCATCTCAGTATAGGACCGCAAAGCTTAGGCAATTGTTGCCACCGGTTCTTCCTGCCTTCCTACTTCCCTGTGGTTTCTCGTGCCTCTGAATCATTCTCTCTCTCTGTCTGAGAGGGTAAAAGAATATTGGTTGCGTTACAATTTAATATCATTACATCATGAGGCCATTATCACCCTCAGAGATGCACAATGGCACACCATCAGCACAGACAGCTACCAAGGTGGCTCATCACAGCCTCATCGGGTGGTGTTGTCTTCATGCAGCACAGAGATAGACTGTTGGCACACGAAGATATCTCTTGCTTGGGCGGCCGAAGGTTTTCACTGTCTTGAAAGAAAGATAATATATCTCACCACGTTCGCTGGTGTCAGGTGCACGTCACAGCATCGTCAAATATCACACCTTTCATCTCTCGATAAATCGCACTGAAGAATACAAATTAAAAAAAACAAATCTTGTTTCCATTGTGTGTGGATTTCAGTCTTTTGCGTTGGTCGGACAGGCTCTCTTTGCATGGTTTGAGTGTTTTGTGTGGCGACTTAATCACGAGTCTTTTTCCTACCAGTGAGATATGCGAACTTGGGACAAGATGAGGTCTTATGAATGCTACTAAATATTTTAACAATTTTTTACAATTTTTATTTTACCAGGTAAGGCCCAGTGAGCCATAGAGATCTTTTTCAGAAGTGACCTGGCCACAAATTGATAGCTCAACGAATTTGCTTATCATGTGGAAGTTTATAGCAGCCAAATAATCTAAATGCATGTTTCAAAATGTGTAAAATCCACGCGAACACGGGGAGATCATGCAAGCTCCAAATATACTGGCGTGAGGATCAGGATCGAACCCATGACGTCCTATATACCAGGCGAAGTAGTTAACATCTCGCCACCGTGGTGGCCATTAATTAATTATTAATACATACCCTTCACAACCGTATGTAAACAACAGTGAGTTTGGACAACACAGATCACTGCAAGGCATGATGGCCAGTGGTTGAGACTGACGATGGCATGACAGCCAAAGGAGGGAACACACCCAAGAGTACGTCCACCGGGCAGATGGAGTGGATGGATTGTGACATCACGAGGCCGCTGGAGATGGATTGGGTAGGCTTTCAATGGATTGGGTAGGCTATCATCTAGCAGTGGATAGATTTTGGCTATGAAATTAACCAAGTGTAAGTTGCTATTTTAATTTGTTTTAAATTACTCAAGGTATAATTATAAGTCAGTCACTTCTGTAATAACATCTAAGGGAAGCCATCTGTGAAGTATACATTTGTGCACACTAATGTTTGGTCGTATCTATAATTTAATAGCTCATTACAAAAAATTTTCCAAGATGCAATTTTCACCACTGCTCTTATTATACGCTTCATGTTCAATCCCTACATGAGAAACGTGAGCTAATTGCTGTATACGCATTTCCAGGAGAGCGTTTCTTTTTAACCATTAAGTATAAAACATTCTAAAGTTATAATGATATCCACGTACAAGGGGTACAAGGGGTACTTGTTTTTAAGGACCGTACCGTACAGATACACATCCAGTATTGTTTTCATTACACTATTTGATGGTGTTCTAGCAGAGTCATTTACTGTGTAATCTTTGTGACATCAAACGGACAATAAATTCTGCGTCTATCTTGACTGGAAACTTTCGTGACTGTAGGAATTAATATACTTTGGGTCTTTCGGTAAAGCCACGTAGATAGAAAAAATACTAAAAATAATAACTATATCATGACGTTTCGATCGCAACACAAGCAATCGTCATCCTTTTCCACCGCCATGTGGCGATAGCTCTTTCCCAGCTCTCTCCGAGCTTACATTTACAAGTACATTTCTTACATTGACATGCTAATATCTCACAATACAATGGCCACCCCCACAGCTTCGTTTCTGAGTTACATTCACTAACACAGCCACAAATAGCTATGTTCGTAAATGGCAGCTTGCCATCCTTTTCCACCTCCATGCGGCAATGGCTCTTTCCTTGCTCTCTCCGGGCTTACATTTACAAGCATTCTTGATTTGAAGCATTCGTGATTGCAGGAATCCATACTCTTTGGTTATTTCGGTAAAGTCACGTGACTTTACCGAAATAACCAAAGAGTATTTACAAGCGTCTCTAAATCTTTCTAAACAGCTCTTTGATTGGGGTAGACCTACTGCCGGTTACGGAGACCTCTCCTGTATTAACATTAGCTGCCCCGCCCATCTCTAAACCTTTATAAACAGCCTGCCTCAGTAGGCTTGTGTTGCGATCGAAACGTCGTGATATTGTTATTATTTTTTTTTATCTACGTGGCTTTACTGAAAGACCCAAAGAAAATGCTGTGTCTGTTGGAAATGCATCTAAAGCACCAGTTTTTATGCCTCTGTGAGAATTCGGTGTGAATTAGCATGTTCTTTACAAGTACTTTTGTGATGCCAAGCATTCACATCTAAAACCAAAACATTGGAGGCTTAACATTTAATCCATAATATGAGGAAATGACTGGGATGTATGAGGAGGGATAAAACATTAAAATCAGGGGAAGTGTAATTTTGCACGAGGTTAACATTGGAGTTATTCTCTGTGATGTCACACCGTGGGACTAATACCTGTGCTATAACCATCACATTTCCCATTAGCTTGAGGGACTTCATTTGTTGGGCGACATTGAACGTATAAAATGTATGGTGATTCATACGTAATCCATCGTGCACCAACATTTTTTCGTCAATGAGCAAAGTTAATTGTAAATGGAGGATCCTTAATTGTAGGATGCCACTCCGGTATATCAGATGTAAAATGGCCTCCATTGTGGCAAAACATATAAGATCTTCACAAAAGAAGCCATCGCCCCTTGAATGCTTTCATCTTGACTGCCTTGGGTGTGCCTTCCACTTTGATTAACTATTCCATAACCCAGAGCCATCTTCAGTGATCTTCCAGACAGCCTGTTATAGGCTACTTTGGAATACATATTGGTTTATACTGAGCAAAATGTGGAAGGCCAGTGTAAAAGCATATTTAGTACGACATCTAAAGTATCCAGAATATAGGAGTATGGAACTGTTTGGTCTAATCTGCTGGTTTGTCTTAAATATTAATTTTTTTTGTGTCAAGTGGCTAATTATTACTTGATATCGGTTGACCTTTGAACCTACATTTACTGGGTGTTCATTTTGCTGTTTTTTTTTTATCCACAGATTCTACCTGATTGGAGGAGGCATTCCCATCCTGGTATGCGGAATAACGGCGTTGGTTGACATCAACAATTATGGAAGCAATGGAAGCATGCCACTGTATGTATTCAATATGTATCTTTTACGGAACAATCCCTTTCAACATAGACACCGATTATCTTACTGTAGTCATTATATACGAACCTGTGTTATCGCATTTTGTAGGTCATTGGCTGTTTCTTTCTAAGAGTCAAAATTTTACAATGTCAAAGTATCTCACTGCTTAACTGTGGTGCAGTGCTGAACCCCATTAGTGGCCATAAGAAAGCACTCAACACATCACATTGTAATGGCTAGAGTCGGTTTTGTTTCCATATGACAACCACTTTTGACGTTCCCACAGAGTGGTACTGCACTCATGGTTTATTGACGTTAAATGGATGCTGGTGATTGAACTCGCAATTGTCCATTTTTTCTGGTTTGAGGACTCTGTCCCAATGCCAGGGAGCTGGTATTAAAACAATTACATTCCAGCTTCTGCATGCAAGCATGCCACGAGCCACCCATTGTGACATGCACTTGTCATTCAGTGCTTTGAAAGCAAGAATATCAAAACCAACTCAACACATTCGTCAGAAACCCTGTGGCCTTCAAGTAAAAACATATAATCAGCGATGTTTTCAGATAATGGTCCTTCTTCGCAGAAAGTATTGGTGGATCATGTATTCACACTCCATAATTGTGTGAAAACATCTTCATATAGAGAGGACTGCAGAACTTGGGGCAATTGTTGGCACTGGTTCACCACATGGCTGCCTTATAGCTTATCTGTGGTTCTTCGGAGATTGTGAGATGACATTTGCATGAATGACGATGACGCTATATTTAAAACTAAAACATTGTAATGCAGATTTCTTTGTTTAAACTGTCATACTTTATTCTGCTGCTTGTGCGTAGTGCACCAGGGTGATGTTGTAACCTGCCCACCTGTGCAAGATTTTTGAGCGTGAAAATATCAGAGAGGCTCCTGGGTCTTCTCCAGGAAATCTAGTTTGCTCAGACGTGCAAAACACTGATTAAAAAAAATAAATGAGCGAAGTATACTTTTTTTCAGAATCAGAATCTTTATTTTATACTTGAGGAATCCGATGAGCTATCAAGCTCCTTTTCACAGATGTCCAGTAGTTTTCACAGGTGTTCAGTTGATGCAGGGTCCTCCTGAAAAGTGTCAAAATTGAGTGACACTTTTCTCAATAATCTAATAACATTAATACTCATTATTATTTTGGATGATTTTATTTTTTTCTTCTGAATCTTCTGTCAATTTCTATATACATGAATGCACATTTATTTGCTCACAAATTCTTATTGTGTGTATATACATGTTGTGAGGATCGGTAGTGTAGCGGTTAGTGCTCTGCGCTCCAAACACGGCGATCCGAGTTCGATTCCCACTCACGACCAAGACCAGTGACGATTATCTGAACCGGTCCTGGGCCTCCCCTAGGTCGACTCAGCCTCAAATGAGTACAGTACCTGGTGCGAGTTGTAAACATCCTCACTGGAAAGACAAAGGCGCCCGGGAGTGGTGCTAACCACCCACCCCCTCGTGTGCCGTGCTGGCCTTCAAAGGTGCTCGTTAAACAGCAATTGCCCCGACAGTCTGTTAAGGCTATGCGGGGGATCTTTGTCTATGTTATCTTACCTATGAAAGGCATTTTTTTTGTCTGTCTGTGTGTCTGTGTGTGGACGAAACTTGAGAAGATTTGGCTCATGAACCGTGGGGTTTAGGTTTTACCATGGAAGTCGAAAAAGATGGCAAGCTACCTTTTTTGGATGTCCTAATAAAAAAGAGACCTGATGGTTCAATGAGCCACTCTGTCTACAGGAAAGCTACCCATACGGATGCTTATCTGAAACCGGATTCCCACCACCATCCATCACAGAAGAATTCTCTCATCAAGACTCTGTACCATAGAGCCCAATGCATATCCGACCAGGAACACATAGGCAGTGAACTCAAGCATGTACACCAAGCTCTTAAGGCTAATGGTTACTCCGACTATACAATCCGCAAAGCTATCACTCAAACCATGAAGAAGGACCCTCTTGAGGAGCCTTTCAAAACCATCACTTTACCCTACATTGCGGGGATCACAAAAAAGATCTCCAAAATCTTGAATAAACACAAGATCCAGGTCCGTTTCAACACATTACATAAAATCCGTGATCTGGTTCCATCTGTAAAAGATGTGATTCCGGACATACAGTACCCTGGTGTCTACAAACTAAGTTGCCTCTATGGTAGTAGTTACATTGGAGAAACCAAACGCCATGTCTCGGACCGCATTCGTGAACACAAAGCAGACCTTAAACACGGTAGGACCAACACCTCGGCCGTGGCAGATCATTGTTATAATTCAGTAGGCTCACATGACATTGACTTTTCCAAGACAGAGGTTCTTTGTAAGCCATCTGGCTACCATGAGAGATTCGTTCATGAGGCTATCCACATATACAAGCACAGAGACAATTTCAACCCGAGAAGATGGATTCTGGCTTAGCAATCATTGGAAGGATTTGATAAACCATTTCAGGTCTTAATTGATTGTTCACGCTTACGGTGGCTTTCAGACAGCATACATTAATTTTTCGTCTCCCCCCTCCTCTTTTCAGAACATAGATGGACTAGTCCTTCTAAATAAACTGCCAAATCGCTGCACGTGGCGCTGACGTTTTTTTTAATAAATAAGTAAATACACCGTTTTAAAAATAAATAAATTAATGCGAACCGACACTTCTTTCAAATGTTTCTTGCCGTTGGTTTTTTCACACCTGATGACGACCGTTTGTGTTATGGTCGAAACGTCGTGAGAATTTTTATTGTTTTATATATATTTTATTGCTTCCCTTCAACGTGACTTTACCAAAAGAGCTAAGAATATGAATTACTGCAGTCACGAAAGCTTTAAATCAAAATTTTACTATAGAGTCAGTAGATACTACTATAGAGTTAGTAGTTACTACTATAGAGTCGGTAGATACTACTGTAGGGCCAGTAGATACTACTACGGTCAGTAGCTACGATAGTAAGTAAATACTACTATACAGTCAGTAGCTACTACTGGCTAGCTAGATACTACTGTCCAGTCAATAGATACAACTGCAGAGTCAATCGATATGACTTACTCTGTTATATGTAGGTTGTGTAGGTATCTATACCAACGCAGAGGTAAACATTTTTTGAGGGGGGGGGTCGACAATTTTCAGAAACCTTTTCTATCTACTATTTATCCCTCACTTTCTATATCTTGTTGGACTTTTACAAGCTTCTTGTAATTTCGTTGGCGGAGAAATGGACAAACGGCCCACCGGGCTTTCACAATATAGTATATGTGTATGTATATGCAATGTCTTTCATGGCAAGAGACACGTTGTGTACAATAAATGGGCTCTGGTATGGTTTAAATAATTAAAATGTCATACTAACTCATATATCCAGGAGAACTTGATTTTATTTTTACAAACGTCTGATTGTTGCTGTCTAAATGATCAAAGATGTGTGCAATGTCTCACCGGATGTGGGTTATGAAATGATCTGCCTCACCGTCCAGTTTTAAAGACATTTTGTGCAGATATTTAAGAGAAACACAGTACATATAGTGATGACTATTTAACTCGGATATCAATATCCAAACAATGGAGGCTGATGGTTTTCGACTGATCAAAAAACTGAAAATAAATAAATGGGAAACAATGTAGAATGACTTCAACTGTACACAATTTAGCTTTCCCCTGCCTTCAGCAACCAAACCCTTTGGAGCATGGAGGCAAAATAGGAAGGGTTGTATCATTCACAGGGGGGGTTGAATATATAATTTCAGCTGTGTGCATTGAGCGTAGAGCTCATAACTGTAATAGAGTGAGGCATAAAGAGACCGCATCGCATGCATGTCATATAATACTATAGTTGGATTGAAATGGGAATCCTTCAACCTATGGGGACAAATTAATATATTTTTTTTATAAATGAATGATATATTCTTCTCAGAACAATCCCAGTCGTCTGTGTTGCTCCCACATTACAACTCCACCACAGATTGTGGAGAGGGCAATACTTATCCACAATAAACGGTATTGGGTTAGATTGCGAAAATATAAATGTGTCGTTAAATCTGCCACGACCCTACACAGCCAATTAGTAAGGTTTGTCACATAAACAAAACATGCCAATTAGTTACCCGCTTAGCACAACGGTGTGTTGGAGAGTAAACCTACAATATTTACAAATCGAGTACGATATTTTGCCAGTAATCACAACCAGCCTCATCAGGCAACATCCAGAATTCTGGCTGTTGCCTGATGAGGCAATCCTTACTGATTGACTGTGTCAGGTGGTGGTGGGTTTAAGGACGCATTTATATTAACACCATCTAACCCAAAAACCTATATTATAGATACTATTGGTCATGAAAGCCTCTTACTGTGCGTTTAACAGGGCAACACTTGTCCAGCACGCTTCTTAATACCTCATCTCCATGCCTACAAGGCTACTGTTTTAATGTGACTCATCAGCTTCATACAGATACATTTAAAAATACTTGACTTTTCTTGCTGTGGTTTTCACACCTGATGATGATTGCTTGTGTTGCAGTCGAAACGTAGTGAGAATGTTGTTGTTTTATATTTTTATTATTTTATTGTTTCCCTTCTACGTGTTATTAAAGGGCCAATTGTGTGAGCTCGTGTTGGCTGGCATGAAGCTCATCCATATTACTGTATTTATGTTGTATATGAGCCGAGCATATTGGTAGCACTAGATTACAGGTGTGCTACAACAGCAATGGTTGGTGTATTAATAAACCTGTTGCATTACGATGTTGCCAAGATATAGCAGTACAGCAAGTGGGTTTGTGAATCCCCCCCATAAAGGGCGAGTTATGTCTGAACCAGTCATGGCCCCCTTCCTGAACCACTACCTTGACAAAAAATCTTGGGAGGCTTTCATCCAGCAGAGAGGCTTGACAAATGGCTGAAACAATTTAGAGGAAGACCTGAAATCTAATATTGGGATACTATAAAAGCAAATTTTGAAGGTCAGATGCCAACTTTGCAGCATC